GGTTTGTCAAGTTGTGTGTCCGCTGTAGCAGCTGTAAGTTGTATTGTGAATTGTGATTTGTTCGTCGTGTTGAGGTTAGCGGCGTTCTTGGGCGTGTGCGGGATCAACCCTGTATTGTATTATTGTATTTAAGTTGATTTATACGGATCCCGGCACCTCAAGGCGACATAACCTCAAGGGTATGTGTGTACTATTATAATATTATAATAGACCGACGGGTCTTATTCTACCTAATTAATTATTATTATTGTATTGGACCAAGTGGTCAAACTTGTATTGTAACTTTATAATATGTCTACCAATATTTAATATACCTAACTAAACCAATTGTCTTATATTATTTTGCATTTGGGACGGCTGCATCATAAGTTGCAGATCCTCCCGGCCGTTAAGGCTTCCTAATTTATTACTTATTAAAGCCGAAAGCGAGCCAACAGGCAGCTTCAAGCTCAGGCAGGATTTAACCCTAAACCAATCAATTTTGATTCAGGTATCAATTTGTTTCGTTTGATTTCAGAATTATTTTTCACTAATTATTGAAATTACATATCATATTATTTGTAATTTAAATTATAGCCGTAGTTTGCTCACTTCACTTTGCTTCTTATCATTACGATTTTTCTAAAGGAGTACAAATGAATGCTCGTAATTTAAAGGCAGAAGCAATTCCACTGAAGTAAAATTTATATTAAAAAATAAACTATGAAAATACAGATCTATATGTATTATATATTTATATCATTACCTATATGTATTCTTATTCATTAGTTCTTATGGTTTGGATTATAATGACATGTCTATGAGAAGATCTTTCACACCAAATGTATCTCCAATAAAAACTGGAGCTGGAGTTTTTTCTGTGTATGAAAAATATACTAGGTATACATTGTTAATATCAACTTGATTTTTGGTTTTCTACTAAATTTCTTTGACCTATGGCAATGTGATACATAGAGGAGAAGCGACGAATATGGAATAGGCATTTATTATGGAATAGTCAAAAAATTATTCACGAATGTACTAAGCTTTATCTGTCGTATATGATTGAAACTTGATCTTTAGTTATTAGTTTTATCAAACATATGGTACTGATATCACAGCACTGTTATCAAATGGAATAAATAACGTTTTTCGTTTTTCGTAATAACGTAAATTTTACAAGGTATGTATATTTTTATTTATTTTACTTAGTTAATGTTTTAAATTATAAATCCTTTAGAGCCTCTGAATAGCTTATGAAATTTACTTTTAAACTTTACTACAGTGATTAATCTAACGTTAAAGCATCAAATTGTAATTATATTTTTGTATTGAATTCATGATGATGATAATATGGAATACTTGTTTGCTTTTAATATGGGATGCTATTCTATAACATAAAAACTTATATAGGTATTATCTATGAATTATTATTTTTTTAAGATGGCCAAATCAAATACTAGATGCAGAAAACAGTGGGATATATAGAGCTATACATAGCTAAATACATAGATACATTTGTATTAATTTTATAAAGATTAAAAGAAGTTTTTAAATACCTACTGGCTCCTTTTTATTTTAAGATAATTGTTTTCTGCCTAAGACATTTGTCTGGTTCATTTTTTAATTATATTATAAGACCAAACTGTAAGATTTATAATAAACATACATCAGAACTTAAAATATTTTAATTTATTCCTATTAGATAATTAGTGCTGGCATTATGGAATACCCTATTAAATATTACTCACACTTTTTTTGAAATGGTAAAATTAAAAATTTTTACATTATCATGAATATATAAAAATTGGTAATTTGATGTGTTTCAGCGACTAAAAAAATGTATTCTAAAATAGTTTTAAATTAATATGATATTAAGGGTTTTCCAAAAACATCAACATTGTAATTAGTGTAGATCAAAAACAAAATGGTATTCCATATTCGTCACCCCTCCTCTACATATATTTATTTTTCAGAGAAATTTTACCTGGTTTTGAAGTGGTAGAGTCAAAACCAAAGTCATGTCGTGTTAGATTATTCAGTTCAACCTCAACTGATAATGACTTAGGAGTTAAATTATTAGACAATAATGACAAAAGTGAATCAATAATGAGGTAATATTTTGTAATGATGTTTAGGTACCATTCTTCCCTTCACTATTGTGTTTGTAACTTCTTGAAAATGATTATTAACAACTCCATGCTTAAATTGTTTAATGTATTTTAATTAACTAAAACAATTATTAAATATAGATTTTAAATTTTTAATACAGACATAATATAATTAATCATGAATATAATATATTAGGTATTTATAAATTCAGGACTAAATTACTAATTAGTATAAATAATAGTAAAAAGTATTAACTATAAAATATTTAAAATAAGTTTACAACATAATAGCTTTTAGCAATATAAACACTAATTTATTTAAGTTATTATTCAATATATATTAAAAAAAAAGAAATAATGATGTATTCACAATGTTTATTTGTGTCAGTAGTGTATATGACTTTTGTTTTAATTGTCTTATATAGGTATCATTGTATATTTTTGAGTGTATGTAGATAACACTAGGATCTTAAGTAAATTATTGTATTTTTGTAATTTTGAGATTGGTTATTATAATAAATGTTTATATTTGCAAAATTCTCATGTTTGTATATTGTATATGTATATATTTTTTAATAGTCTTATGTATAAGTATGTATATAAGTAGGTACCACAACTCACAAGGATCTTTATTATATGTTTGTGTAACTTTGAGAAAATATATGTTCTATGTGTTTGAATAATATTGGCATTTAATTTTATTTATTGTTATAACATTAAACCTTTTCTATGGTTATTCAATTGTGTAGATTAAAACAAGAGTTAATTGATGTTAAAAAATCATTTGAAAAAATTTTATTGGATAATGATAGTTTAAAAAAAAAAAACCATGTAATGAGGAATATAAAATACAATGGTAAAAAGTGTTTACTGAGTTAGAAAATGACCGTTTCGAAAGCCAGTTTAAAGAAATTTTATCAAAGTTCACCAACTCAAATTAGTTTAATGCTTCATCCTAAAGCTAAAGTTTATAAATGGACACCAGAGGATATATCTTCGGCTATTACTTTGAGAAGTATTTCTCCAAAAGCTTATCGTTATTTAAGATTAAAGAAAATTTCCCATTGCCAGGTTAGTTAAAATAAATTTTCGAAAATTGTTTACTCATTTTATTTTGAAACTCTTTTTCACTAACTATCACATATTCACTTTTCAAAAGGTTTATCAACATTACGAACTTGGGCCGCAACTTTTAATCTTGATGTTGGAATCCTTTCATCCGTATTATCTATTATGAGATCCAAAGGTATATTTTAAAATAATTTATAAAGTATTTTTACAGGCCTTTATTTTTATCTTATTTTTACACCAGGAGAATTAATGAACACAAATGATAAACTAACAGTTATTAGTTTTGATGAAACCTATGTTTCAAAACGGATTTGTTTTGAAAAAAAAAATGAACAGGTAATTGGGCCACACAAATGTGTTCAAACTGTTATGGCTCGAGGTATAGTATTAATTTAAAGTACTACCAATACTAAACTAATAAATAATTAACTTTAATTTTTTGAAAAAAAAAGTTTAGTAAGTAACTGGAAACAGCCTTTATTTTATGATTACGATACAAAAATGACTAAGGAGTTACTATATAAAATAATAGAATGTTTACATGCAATTGGTTTTAATGTGGTTGCCATGGTTAGTGACATGGGTAATACCAATATGGCATTGTGGAAATCTTTAAATGTGACAATACACCAAACTTCTTTTTTACATCCTGTAACAAAGAAAAATGTTCACGTGTTTGCCGATGTGCCACATCTGCTTAAATTGATTAGAAATCATATACTTGACCAGTAGGTAACTATTCTAAACAAAACAGGATTAATTATCAATCATAAATATTTCTTTCAGTGGATTAGTACTTTCCAACGGAAAGTTTATTGGGAAATATATTTTTCATTCTCTTTTACAATTAAGTTCAGGACATGATTATAAATTGGCTTATAAACTCACTGAAAAACACTTGACAGTAGAAGGTACAGGTCGAATGAGAGTAAAACTTGCTGCTCAATTACTGTCAAATACTGTAGCTAAAGCCATATCTTTTTGTGGAGAAAAAATCTTTTAGATTCATTTAACTGGAAAAAGGCAAGTAATTATGTTATGTTTATTTTAATTTTAAGTTTTTATTATTATACTTTATTTAATATTTGAATGTTAACCTGCTTGGGTTGATCCACAAACCGCAAAATGCAATGTACATAAGTTAATCACCAATGCTATTTGTATCAATAGACGTAAGTAGTACAGTTAATTAATGATTGGTTTGACTTGATGAATACCCAGCACAAGTATGACAATGGCACTGCAAGTTATGGGCTCAATAAATCATCTCAAAATGATTTATTAGATAGAATGAACGAGTTTATCAATAGTATGCGAGTTCATGGTAAAACATCGTTGTTACCATTTCAAAAAGGTTAGCTACCTACCTATAATATTGCATAAAATTTAAAAAATACAATTTTATAGAAATAAATAATCAACTGTATAATTTAATTCGATTTTAGTTGAGATTAATTTTAATTACCTAGGAATAATTGTGAGTAATACTTCTTTGAAAAATTTATTTATTGACATGAAAGAAACATATGGGCTAAGTTATATTTTAACCAGAAAACTGGACCAAGATGGGTTAGAGAACTTGTACAGCTTCTTGAAAGGTATGCTCGAAAGTGCCAATAATGACATGACTGTTTTGGATTTGAAATATTGGTAAGACTTATTAAATTACTAATAAAATGTAATAAATTAAGTATCTAAAGAATAATTACAATTTATTTCAGTTTACGGTGGTATATACTTGGAAAACATTCTGATGCAGTTTTCACAGAAAATACCAATAATGAAAATAGCCATGAAGTCAGTTTACTGGATGAAAGAGAGTGCTTGACTGGCCAAATCATGAATGAGTTGCAATTAACTGTAGCTGACTCAGATATTTCCAATGATACATCAACTGTTGAAACTATCCATATTTCTGAAGCTGACCTGAATTTTGATCTTCTTAATCAATTTGAGGTATCTATTAATTAAAATGTATTACAACTATTAACAAATAATATTAATGATTCATTTCTTAACTGTTTTAGCTGGATACTGGAGAACCACCATTCCAAATGGTAGAAGAAGGGTGTGCTGAATATTTTTCGGGCTATGTAGCCAATCGCTTCTATAATAAATACCCTTCTTTAACTGCTCCACATAACTCACAACCACCAGATAACTGGACAAATCATTTATCCAAAGGCAATTTAAAAATTCCATCCGAAAACCTTTTTAAAGCAGTCTTACAATTGGAAAGAGATTTCAACAATTTTCAAGGGGACCCTTTATCTAAAAAACCACAAGTTTTTAAAAATTTATACAAAATAGTTGCACCCAAAATTCAGTATTTAAACATACCTGATGAAGTTATTTTATGCCTGATACGAACATGAACATATATTCGTCTAAATAATTTGAATAATGAACAATCAAGTACACGTCATTCAAAAAAAGCAAGAAAAAATTAAAAAACGAAAATTTACCAACTGACAAAAATATGTACTTACCAAGAATAATATAAAAATATAAATAAATTACAATTACGTTTAGTTCGTTATTCTTTAGTATTTAATTTAAAACCATGACAAAATGCACAGGGCACAGGCGCACTGAACTATACTAGTGTGATACTATAATATAGTATACAAAACCGCGTATAAAATATTCGACCAATGAGAAGCTGAGAACTACGATTATGACGAGGTGAAGAGGTGCGTATCACAAAGTTGCTGACATACCTATCTATTTTGTCATGGTCAATAGTATATACACACTTAATACTTATATTTCACTGAGTTTAGTAGAAACGTCCCCCGAAAAATTTTCAATATTGGCATAAAATCAAAAACAATCAATTAGTAGATATTTGCCGGGACGACTGACGACCAGATGAAACATGTCTCATTGTCGCGTGCCGCGCTTTCTTGCATTGCTAATTCTATATGGATGCCTATAGGCTACGGGCTACGGTGAACGTTCACTTGGGTTTTTCATTCTCAATAATTAATCGTCAAACGAAATGATATGCCATATGCGTAAATAAGAAGCGTTAGAAAGAGAAAACAAATAGTGGCGTCCTATTAATAAATATAATATCTGAACTGCACACGTTCGCCATAAGGCATGTGGTTTACTGGTTTTCTTCAAAAGTACCTACATGATGTATGTGATTGGTGGGGGTGTGTGAAGACCGGCCAACGGTCTAACTCTTGGTGGCGACAATCTTCCATCACTAACTTTTCTCCATTCCAACTAATTCGGAAGTCGGAACCCTCGTCTCTCCTGCATTTTACTCACCATCTGACGTAAGTAAATTTTAACATTTTGACATAAATAACCGTGGTTCAGTGGTTGTATTTATTTATTCTATAATATAATATTAACGGATTACGGACAAGTATTGCTGCATCTTTATTTATATTTGATTTATTTTAAACATATTTTCATATTTGTGTCATTTTATTTTAGCACAATGTACGGAATAGTCATTATTATTTATTATTGTAGTGCAGCCCTACTTTATTAATTTTATAAAACATAATATCAATGACAATTCTGTACCATTTATGAATGGTGAATGAGAGTGGCCATAATTTTATTATTTCCGAATTATATTTTTATACAACATGCCATATAATCTTAAAATCTCATTTGAACTTTATACCTATATTAATTGAATGTCCCTATAATATAGATGTCGATCAATGTTTATTTCACCACTGATGGCGGCGGTGGTGGCGGCTGGAACGGCGGTCGTGGTGGCAATAGCGGCGAAACCTTGGTTTCGGACGTTTCGGTACCCTCCAACAGACACCAGAGTAAGTATATTTATTATTTAATTAAATTTCAGAGAGATAATATTTAGTAAGAAATCCCTGTCAGTCGTCAGAGAAGGTCTTCACCCTATTTTCATGAAATTTCAATATTTTAAGATGACGCCACACCCGAATGTGTTGTTTCAGTTTTTTTTTAGATTCTGAGTGGAACGACGAATGTATTGATTTTACAATGATGTGTTTTTTTTCTATTTTTTTTTTTGTGTCTGTGTGCACGATAAGTAGTCGAAATAATGCTTCGATTTTCAACTTCAGTATCTTGTTCGATTGGAAAGTGAATATCGTTGGTGCATTGTTAAGGTCAAAATTTAATATTCCCAATAGTTTTCATAAGCGCCGGGAAAATTATCCATTTTTTTTAGTTTTTTTCTAAAAATATCAATAAAATTTTATTTGTTGGTTATAAAAGCTTGAAAATTTAATGCAAAGCTCCTTCCATAGTCATTTTAAGTTCAAATTTGGACGAAATTACATATTAGAAAACCTAGAATAACTATTTTAGTTATTTTGTTGTGATTGAATAATATTATTCGTGGGTACTTGAAATGTCTAAAGTGTATTATTATATTATACCTATGATAGTCTATGATTGTTGTTGATGTATAACGCATTATAAGTACCTAATGGATATTGTGATATGATTAAGATGGAATTTATTATAGGTACCTATTAGAGGTCAATTTTTTGAGTCTTAATAGAAATTCGCTAGACTAAACCGGTTTAAAATTATCCCGCACCGGGATAATGAACCATGTAAATGATATGGTCCAAACATGCCGGTGCATTATTTTTCACACCGGTTTAGTCTAGCGAATTTGTATTATAATTATACTATATTATAATATAAAGAAAGAGAAGTATTAGTATTAGTATAGTCTGACTATATTTTGTTCTTGTAATAGGTAGTCAAAGTGTGTTTTCTCTAATAATCTTAAATGAGTTACTAACGTTCAACATTTTACGTATACAATAATCCATTTCACTGTTATTTTACATATATAAATTTTTTTGATTTCATAGGTTGCGAGAATTGCGGCTGGAATGGCCATGACACTGGCTCCTGCCAGAAAACGGCAGTGGAGGGAGCACGGGCAAAGGCTGCCATTGCTGTACATAAAGCAGAAGCAGCAGTAACTTTGGCTGAAAGGCTAAAGGCACAAGCTGCGGCTGCAAAAAAAAAACAGCAGCAGCAACAAAACCCCCCAAAAAAAATGTAAATTAAATAATAAAAACTAAAATAAAATTAAAAAAGATTAATTATACGGATGTTTTTGTTTTCCGCTTGCCATTAAAAATATTCAATTGTTGGTTTTTGACATGAGATTTAAATGAAATTTTGTGAATAAGAGTATAAGTATTGACTAATCTATAGTTAAAAGTTGCTTAATTGTTCATTTTTAATTAGGTACTCATATTTCTACATATTATAGTATGACACAGCTAAATGTTTGTATGAGGAGTTTGTGAGAACAATTATTTTATAAGTTATAAAGTGTATAACATTAAGGTTCATTAAAACATTATTTAAGCATAACTGAAAACGAATTATTGAAACATTGTATGGATCTATACAATCACCTTAAAGATGGATCTGACTCTGATATTGATGGTGTCGAATTATGCACAGAGATTGTGAACATCAAGCAATTGTTAATTTCTTGTTTGGACGTAAGTTCACCTCTTAATATTCTTCAATACATTTTTGACTATGAACTCCAAGACATATTTCCAAATCTTTGGATTGCTTTAAGATTATTATTGACGTTTCCAGTGACAGTAGCTAGTGGTGAGCGAAGTTTCTCAAAATTAAAACTCATAAAAACATACTTGCGATCTACTATGGCTAATGAACGTTTAGTCTCACTATCGGTTTTATCTATAGAAAACGAAATAGCTGCGGAAATCAATTTTTCTACAATTATACGGAGTTTTGCCGAGAGAAAATCAAGAAAGGTGTTGATCGATAACAAATTTAAATAAATATTTTATTTTTGTTATATTTTATTGTACACTCTATTTCCATTTATTATTAATTTCTGTATAATTTTTTTTTTTAGTAGTATGTAGGTATTTTATATCATTTTTCCGTATTTCTATCCATGAATAACATTTTTTCCGAATATTATATTATGGGTTGTATGAAAAAGGCACCAGTTGGCATTTTGGCCTGGGGCGTCATTTAGCCTTGCGCGGGGTCTGCTAAGTACCGTTACTAAGAAGCCCGGTAGTTCTTGAACTCTTTACCGTCGGGTAGTAAATTTTCCTGGCTTTCCGAATATCTATGTTAAGTCCTTCGACTCCTTCCGGAACACTGCCGGAAAAATCAAAAACCACGCGCGCGTATACGTTTCGCTTATCGGCGTCATTTTATAATACTATATGATAAATATGGCTAGGTGACCTCAAATTATTTCGTTATAATTCCTTTGCTGCTATCTAGTGATTAGAAATGGAAGTGGAACATACAAACGGCAATGTAAACGTTGGGCGCCTAGAAAATACCGTAATGCAACCGAGCATACAAGTTTTCTTATCACTAGCCGCCCGAAAAATTTGTTCACCTAGCTTTGTTCACCCAACTTCACACTCGTAATAAAAAACCTAAGAGGTTCTGCACTGGATAACAACTTTAGGTACCTTTAAATTTTATAAAAAATAAATTCGCTGTAATTTTTAAACCAACAAAGCTAAATGTGATCTGATCAGCGTACAATTTGCTGTGTTAGGCGTTTGTAAGGCAGAAGGAATGCATGCGGATGTAGTGCCCTCTTAATTTATTTATTTACTAGTATACAATGTGTCTAAAAGAGACCCAAGTAAACATTAATGTGAAGGTTTAAAAATTCCTTATGATTGACACGGCTACGGCAATGATGGCGGTAGGCCGGTCGTTGTTTGTGACTGTGTGGACGGTTTAGGGTTAATGCACTCGCCACGTCACACGCACAAACGTAGTAGATACGAATAAAACAGTAAACGCTGATTTAGGATTACAATTGCCAGGTGACGTTTATTATTATAATAACTATAAAAGATGGACCCGTGGTTTTGACGCGGCTACGGTAGGTAGACGGTAGGCTGGTCGGTGTCGGTGGTGGTTTTTTGGTGCACTCGTCACGTAGCGCACAACTTCGGTTGACTTAATAACTGTGAACGCCGATTGGTTCCGGTAGTATGTGCCGGGTGGGCGTTTATTTAAGAAAATAACGAAATACAAAGCGTACCCGTGGTCAAGTGACGAACAACGGATCGCGTGTACAAAAAAACAATAAAACGGACTGACGCCGTGTGGCGTTTTTCAATACAACAGTTCAAAATACGAATATGAAAAAAAAACGTGGTTCGGCGAACAAACGTAAAATGAGTTTTAAAAACAATATAAACAGAAGACGGGTCAGGCCGTGCTGATGGTCAGAGAACGAGAGAGATGTCGTCGGCGGCCGGCACTCGTCCGGCGTGACTTGCTTCCCCGTCACACCTTCTGCTTTTTGGCATGGTGGGGGAAGTCGACAGTGTCGCGCCGTCGTAGCCCGTGGTGGCGGTTGGTAAGGTGCTGTAAGGTAGCTCCGACGTCTGTACTTTGTACTGAGCGTCGTTGCGTACCGTATCATAGTTACTGTACGATACTCTTTTCAGAATAAGAAGGAACCAGGCGGCCACGGACAAAACCGGTTTTGTTACGTAAATCTGGTGCGTTCTTATTCTGAAAAGAGTAGAGGTGTACAGATTTTGCTAAAACCCATAATCCCCCCCCCAAACCAAAATCCTAATTACGCCACAGGTATTCGAAGGTTCCGGTCAGTTACAATCACGTCGTCAAGCGAATAAAATAACATAACATATAAATGATACATAGCGTCCCCGTTACATCTTATCACTTTCAATCGCCAATAGAACATATTCGTTTATTCTTTTCTTTATTCGTCCGCACATCCATATCCTCATTAGATTCTTCAATAAAAACAGCACATCCATTGAGAGTTCTAAATAAATTAATAGACTGAAGAATTTTATTTGTTACATCACCAATAACTGAATTTAAAACATGAGCTTAACACCGTATACGAGTATGCATTTGCTTTTTTTCCATATTACTCAGCTAAACAGAAAATCCACGGTACTCGCCCTGCATATTTTCTGCTCCTATCTTTGCCGTATCCGCCGGTGTTATGCGTTATTTTTATGTATATTTTTATGTATACCTAATTAGTTTCATCCAAAACCACCTAATGTCAAAAAACTCTTTAAATCATCTAGAGCTATTTTTGGAGCAGTAGTATTAAACGCCAAGTTTTTATAATCAATCAAAAAGCTGGTAATATGTCTATGGCGGACCCGGACATTTCGCCGCCACCGTTTCGCCGCCGGACATTTCGCCGCCACCGATTCGCCGCCGGACGTTTCGCCGCCGACCGATTCGCCGCCGGACGTTTCGCCGCCGGACATTTCGCCACCACCGTTTCGCCGCCGGACATTTCGCCGCCACCGTTTCGCCGCCACCGATTCGCCGCCACCGTTTCGCCGCTAGACCAAAATTCCGACCAACCCTTCGAATTTTGAAAATATATTCACATTTTGTTTATTATAGCAATTTTATTGCATTTTTAATCATATTAAGCAATTACTTATATATGTGTAGTGTACCCAAATCAAGTTTTAAAAACGAAAGGGGTATATGTCGTAAATTAGTAAAGATAAAATATCTATATTCTATGCTTTGTGAAATGTATAATGTATTAATATATTATACTATAGCCTTTTATCTTATTAAATAATTTATTTCGTTGATTATAGTAAGTCGAGGAGGATCTATATTATATTGTTCAGTCGTCTAGTGGTAGACTAATATATTCATATAGTAAACACTATATATAAAGGAATAGGTTTGATGGAAAAGAATTATATTTTTGACTTAGATAGGTAGGTTCATAAAATAAATAACATTCATAGGTGTAAAAAGATTATATACTTAACATAAAAGTTTTTTTATAAATAAAGGTTTGTGATACAAAATTAGTTTTGAATACACATGTATAATAATTGTGTACAGTGAATAACTATGTAGGTACTTACTACCTACTTAGTTACCTATATTTATAATTAATTCTGTCAGTCTGTTTATGCTTAGTTTAAATCAGAATGCTTCGATCTGCCGACATCAAAAATGCCTTGTTATCATCCTGGGCACATTATAGTATACCTACCATTTTGAAAAAAAAAAATAGTAATTGGAACGTATAGTCAGTAAAAATCATAGATGTTTACATTACAGGACAAGCAATTTAAACAGTAACAAGCCACATTTATAATGCATAACTCATCGCAGTGAAGCAGTATCATATCATTATTATACTATGCTTTTATATTAATATATTATACTATATCCTTTTATCTTATTAAATAATTTATTTCGTTGATTATAGTAAGTCGAATAGTGTGTGGGAGGATCTATATATTCAGGCTTCTATATAGTGGTTGCAATAAAATATTACGTGTAGGTACAATTTGATTTAAGATTTAAGGTCTAGATTAATAATCAATATTCTGACTTCTGTGGCTGATTCAGAGGGGGGGGGGGGCTATGGGTGCTCTGGCTATGGCATCCCCTGTCACTCTAAAAGTCCAAGGCACTCCAAGTCACTAATAAAAAACATTTGTATTCAAAATTTTAAAATAGAAAGGTGTACCTAACCATTTTTTTTTAGATTCTGTTTTTTATAAATTTTTAAATTTTTTTTTTGTTTCTATCATCACCGTGTTTGAGGAAGTACAATTAATTCGATTTTTTTCAATAGTACCTATCTCGATTGATGGGAAAGTGAATATATTTGGTTCATTCAGAAGGTCAAAATTTAAAATTCCAATAGTTTTAAAAGCGCCTAGAATAACTAAATAAAAACTAAGGAAAAATGGGAATTTATAAGCAATATCAGTTTTCAACAAAATCGATTTTGGTTTTTGGTGTAACTCTAAAAAAAACAATCATAGATACATGCAATTTTCACTGAATGTTTATATTAGCATTAATTTCTATACACGATAAAATACACACGATTAAAATATTTTGACTTGTTTTGAGTTGTTTACGGACATAATGAATTTTCAGTTGTTTTAGTTTTTTTTCTATGATTGCCAATAGAATTTTAAATGTTGGGTAAAAGAGCTTGAAAATTTAATACAAGGCTCTTCATATACTGTTACAATGACATTTGAAAAATATTAAATATACAGTCACAATTTTTTCTTAGAAGCATTTAAAGTTCAATTTTGACAAAATACGTAAAAATCACGAAAATTTGCAATTATTTTTGAGTTAGAAATACATAAAAATTTTATTTTTAAATCTAACATTTGAAAATTTAATACAAGATTACTCATAAGTTTATCTACCTTTATCAATCAAAAAATCTCTACCGGAAAGTCAAATTAAATTTTTATGAGCGTTTGAAATTCAAATTTTTACAACATTGATATTCACTCGATTTCTCATGTAGCGATTTCCTTATTTTGTTATTTAATCAATAATGAATAACTATAGATACATGAAAATTTCACTGAATATTAGCATTTCCTACACACCATACAATTTTGAAAATATTTTGACTTTTTTGAGCTGTTTACGGACATTTACAGTTTTCAATTTTTTTGGGTTTTTTTTTCTATAAATATCAATAAAGTTTTATCTGTTGGGCCAAAAAGTGTAAAAATTTAATACAAGGCTCCTGATATATTGTTACAATAGAAGTTGAAAAATATTAAAAATACATAGGCACAGTTTTTTTTTATAAACATTTAAAGATCGAATTTTGACAAAATTTATCAAAATTGAATAATTATTTTGTAGTTAAAAATTTATAAAATGTTCAACTTTTATATCTAAGGGTTGAAAATTTAAAACAAGATTCCACATAAGTAGTTAATTCTGTTACCAAAAAATCAAAAAAATACATAAGCACCTAATGGATATTGTGATATGATTAATTTGGAATTTATTATAGGTACCTATTATAGGTCAATTTTTTTAAATACGATAGATCAGTACCTATATAATATGTCTTATACCTAGACTGACACTGTCTCCGTTCAGAATCGTTTTTCTTATACCATGATATTATATCATTGAATTCATATTTAATACCATCCATTATACAGTGACCCACTTGTAACCTACTGTACAGCAGAGCACCTTTTTTGTTTGTTTGAATACCCCCTGTTAAAATTTTCTGGATCCGCGCCGGACAAGTCATACACTCATACAGCTAAGCGCAAATGATTTTAGTATTCTACTATTATATAGGTATACCGTATACCTATAGGCTATACTATTCTACACACATATACAAATCCTAAAATATAGGCTATATAATAGAATATATTAGATTCTGAGCGGAGAGATATAAATATATTGATTTTACAATGATGTGTATTTTCAACAGCGCCAGAAAAAAACAATTAAAAAATTAAGTCAAAACAGGAATTATACGCAAAATCGATTTTGATTTTTGGTGTAACTCTAAAACAAATTAGGTACCGTAGAAATTTTCACTTTATGTTTATATTAACATTGTCTATACATGATAAATTTTCAAAATATTTTTTATTGATTATGATAACGTTCATATTCAGTTTCCAATATTTTTATTTATTTTTTTCTATAAACGAATATAAAATTGTATTTGTTGGGTCAAAAAGCTTAAAAAATTAATAAAAGGCTCCTAATATATTGTTACAATAACATATGAAAAATATTAAAAATACATATGCACAATTTTCTTTATTAGCATTTAAAGTTCAATTGTTGACAAAATGTAGGTATCAAATTTAAAATTTAAAAATGTATAAAATGTTCAACTTTTATAGCTAATGATCATAGGCGTGCGCACGGGGGCAGCAGAGGCAGCATTTGCTGCCCCTGGACTTTCTTTGGGGCCACCGGGGCCGGCAAATATTAAATAATGGGCCTCGGTAAAATTATATTTCCACAAAAATTTTTTTTTGTTTTGATAAACTATAGATGAATATTTTATATAGGCTTGTAGAAAAGTACACCTTTAGTGGCTTAGTACCTTACTATACAACCTTTTATCCAAAAAAACAAATAACCAATACAATTTTAATTTTGATATCCAATAGTAAAAAAAGTAAAACTATGGGCTGGTTTTAATGGTGAATTTGAAAAATGGGCCGAATTAATCTCTTGCTGCCCCTGAAACCGGAGTCTGCGCACGCCTATGCTAATGATTTAAAATTTAAACTAAGGTTCCACATAAATGGACGTTAATACGTTATATATAAATTACTTTATTCGGAATATCATCAAATATACTTATAGGTACTTAACTGGAATATCATAGACTGATACATTGTTTTTCTTATATCAATGATAATATAATATCATTAATACCTCATTACTTATTAGTAGGGTTCGGATTTGAAGGCAAATGCCTTTCTTTTATTAATCATAATAGAAAAATAATTTTTATACAAAAATGTGTTTCATTTAATTTCTTAGAGAATGGATCTTTTTTTTTTTTTGCCTTTTTCTTTGCCTTTTTACTTATAAATGCCTTTTTTTTACCTTTTGTTTATTTTGCATTAAATTAACTGATATAACTCAAGTAAGTTAATATTTAAAATTGTTTTTAACTAATTATTAGGACAAACCTGGTTAAAGAAAAAGGTACCTAATCTATTTATACAAAATAGCATAAACTTAATGTAGTTTAGTATTCATGCTCATTTTTAATTTGTATTTTTCTCAAAAATGTGTGCATTTTAAAGTGTTTAAAAAATGTTCACTATTTTATTTTGTAGTATATTTATGAATTGCCTTTTATATAAATTAAATGCCTTTTTTTGCCTTTTTTTACATTTTAAATGCTTTTTTTTATTGATTATATTGCCTTCAAATCCGAACCCTACTTATTAGGTAGTTATTTGCTCAATAACTTATGGTTTAAAGGCAAGGCCGGCGGCAATGGGGGTATGGTGGGTTGGCACCCCCCCCCCTTTAAATTTTACGTAACTATCAGTCGGCATTTTCTTAATAACAGAGAGCTGACAGAAATTATACGACTTGTTATACAAACTGTTTTCCTAGATTTTCTTAGGTTATAATTTTAATAATAAAAACAATAACGGGCCCTTGGCAGTCAGTAGTATGTTGATTTCTAAATCGGTAATTACAGTGGATGACACTGTTAATAGTTTACTACGTTATAAAAAAATTTAAATATACAAGTGGATATTTATTATTTATAATCAATGACTATTGACTCCACAATAGTGTTAGTATACAAATAAGGGGAAGTAGAATTCCTTGTATTTCAACTATACGCACTTGACAATTTAAGAGTTTACTGATTTAGAAATCAAAATACTGCTGATTGCTATACGCCTATACGTATATAATACCTATAATAATTTTTTTAGTACCGTCGTACATCGGTATGCTATCGCTAATCGCCATCTCAAGCACCTATCTGTGGGCTGTGGGTGGTAACAATATATTTATATAGGTTATTATTACAGTCAGTGGTGTCATTTCAGTTTTTAATAGAGGGGGGTACAAGTTTCGACCAGCCCAAATCGGTAACTTAAAAAAACAACCACTGGCAAGCACATATTAATATATTATGTTCCTGATCAATTTTTACACGGTGGTGGTTTATCTAGATTCTTCCATAAGTGTAACATTCAGATGCCAAAGTTTTATTTTAGATTTTGTTTCCTATAACCCTTATCATATATTGATTTAATAATACACAATTTTTAAAGTTTAAATAATCCAGACAATCCTGTACCTGTACAGCTAGTGGCTGTATGATATACAAGTAACAATTGTTACTTAGTAATATAACATACTATAGCATAGAACTATTCAAAATGTTTTAATTCAATTTTTAAAAAAAAATTTTTATTATGTTTTTTTGTATAATATTTATCAAATTTAACCTATTATATAAATTTCAACCCATTATACCGTGTGTTCAATTTTAAAGGTAACAGGAAATATTTCGATCGTGTGACATTGAATTTGAATCGGGGTTTTTATACTGCATATAGGACTTATAAATACATATTTTTTTAATGAATTCAAATTTTTAATTTTTTTTTATCAGCGCATGCGCAGTAAAATAAAAATTTCTTAAATAGCAACCACTATTTTGGAGACCGGATTTCGATTTCTTTATTTTTTCTGAACAACTTTGATCTTTACAGTTTGTTGATATCTTCAAAATTGCCATGTTTATGACGGTCGAAAGTATTAAAATTTTTAATATTATATTATAATATAATTATAATATTATAATATTATAATTATTAAAATAATATTAAAATATTATAAATAATATTATAAAATATTATAAATAATATTATTAATATTATAAATAATATTAATAATATTAAAATTATTATATTATAATATTATATTTACAATATTTGTAAATATTGCATTTTTCAACGGTCTATCTTAATTTATAGGTATTTATAGGTATTATTATAACAATTTATTTTTATTAAAACTACTAAATTATCTTCTACTATTATCTTAATTTGTTTTTAATAGTATTATAATGAAAGTTATACTATTAACCTGTGTGAATAAGATATTTTGATAGCATTCTAAAATTGATTGTGAATAGTCAAACGTTTTTCGTAAGTCGCGCGTGACACATTATTTTCTGTACAAAGGCAAACTATTCTGAAAAAACCGATATGGTATTAATTTTTGGAGAATGTCATCAAAATTCGCGTAACGCAGCGGCACTTTATGCTGAACGATATCCCGAGAGATATCATCCACCACACAATTATTTACGATAATTAACTATTATAAAACTTCCGACCGTCATAAACATGGCAATTTTGAAGATATCAACAAACTGTAAAGATCAAAGTTGTTCAGAAAAAATAAAGAAATCGAAATCCGGTCTCCAAAATAGTGGTTGCTATTTAAGAAATTTTTATTTTACTGCGCATGCGCTGATAAAAAAAAAAAAAAATTTGAATTTATTAAAAAAATATGTATTTATAAGTCCTATATGCAGTCTAAAAACCCCGAATCAAATTCAAGGTCATACGATCGAAATATTTCCTGTTACCTTTAAAATTGAACACACGGTATAGAAAAACCAGGAATTTTTATAGGTACTTCACATAGTTTGTTTTAAGAAATTACGGGTTGACATTTTTACAGTCGGCATAAATTATATTTCAGTCGGAAAATACTTGATCTCACCCCCCCGTGAAAATCGTATAACGCCGGCCCTGTTTAAAGGTATAAAATATATAATTAATAAGTTATATATTTATGTGTTATGTCTTAAACTGTTGTATAGGGGTCAGCCCGTTAATAAATAAATATTTAATTAGTTAGGTACTTAGGTACCTAATATGTAAATATTAAAAATACCGTTCAATTAAACATCAAATCAATCACATTTATAGATTGTTACATAATTATACATTTATACGCACCTATATAATTTATTTATGAGCATATATTATAATATATTAATTATAGGCACCTAATACCTACTTATATAATTTATTAATACAACAGTATGATATGATACTGCTTCACTGCGATGAGTTATGCATTATAAATGTGGCTTGTTACTGTTTAAATTGCTTGTCCTGTAATGTAAACATCTATGATTTTTACTGACTATACGTTCCAATTACTATTTTTTTTTTTCAAAATGGTAGGTATACTATAATGTGCCCAGGATGATAACAAGGCATTTTTGATGTCGGCAGATCGAAGCATTCTGATTTAAACTAAGCATAAACAGACTGACAGAATTAATTATAAATATAGGTAACTAAGTAGGTAGTAAGTACCTACATAGTTATTCACTGTACACAATTATTATACATGTGTATTCAAAACTAATTTTGTATCACAAACCTTTATTTATAAAAAAACTTTTATGTTAAGTATATAATCTTTTTACACCTATGAATGTTATTTATTTTATGAACCTACCTATCTAAGTCAAAAATATAATTCTTTTCCATCAAACCTATTCCTTTATATATAGTGTTTACTATATGAATATATTAGTCTACCACTAGACGACTGAACAATATAATATAGATCCTCCTCGACTTACTATAATCAACGAAATAAATTATTTAATAAGATAAAAGGCTATAGTATAATATATTAATACATTATACATTTCACAAAGCATAGAATATAGATATTTTATCTTTACTAATTTACGACATATACCCCTTTCGTTTTTAAAACTTGATTTGGGTACACTACACATATATAAGTAATTGCTTAATATGATTAAAAATGCAATAAAATTGCTATAATAAACAAAATGTGAATATATTTTCAAAATTCGAAGGGTTGGTCGGAATTTTGGTCTAGCGGCGAAACGGTGGCGGCGAATCGGTGGCGGCGAAACGGTGGCGGCGAAATGTCCGGCGGCGAAACGTCCGGCGGCGAATCGGTTGGCGGCGAAACGTCCGGCGGCGAATCGGTGGCGGCGAAATGTCCGGCGGCGAAACGGTGGCGGCGAAATGTCCTAGACCCTATAAATAAATATATACATAGACGATAAACCCTCGTATAAACTATAAAGGAACTCCATAATAACCATGTTAATAAGAAATGACACATTATAATTTCATTACTTGTCTGTGAAAATCTTTTAAGTTTCACTCTACCATTGTCACATTATTTGCAAAGCCCTAAACGTGATCTTTTATCTGCTGTTGATTATGCTAAACATATTATAAAGAGGCTGAAACATGTGAGAAAAAATCCAAATGAATCGTTTACAAAAATCTTTCAAGAGGCTAGTAAATTATCTAAAATGTATTTTGATACTGAAATTAAAATTCCGCGTACTACGAATAAACAAAATTATAGGGATAATTATTCATGTAATTCACCAGAAGAGTATTATAAAATATCTGTATTTTTACCGTGTTTAGATGGTTTTATTTTACATTTTCAACTTTAGAAAGAGTAAAAACACTACTTCGAAACCAAATTGGAAATTACCGTTTAACAGGGCTGACTCTTTTATCCGTTCATTAGGAAATATCAGTTTCACCAAATGAAGTGTTGAATATAATGGCAAAATCAAAAAGAAAATTATTATTATAAATTATAATTTTATTATATCTATGTTATATTTATACCTACATTTTTTTTATTTTTAAGATATTTTTTTTTTTACAATATGTACATAATATAGCATTCAGTAGGTCATTATGAATTTAATTTTTTTAATTGATTAATAAGAATGGTTAAAATTAATTATTATTTTTTTTTTTTTTTTTGACTTGACCTAGTAATAACCTAGTAATAATAATACTGGAACTTTTTTTGTTGCGTTTTAAAAAGTAATGAAGTTTTGCAACCAACGTTCGAAGAAAATAGTTTTCTGCATCCAGCCACTAGGATAAAATTCTACAGTAGAACCTGGAGGAGCATTTCTCATGAATTTCATGTTGTGTCGTTGTCTGGGAAAAATAAACAATGGTGGCATATATCTTCCAGCAGAATTCATGTACATCTCAACTGTGACAGTTTCACCACGTTCTGCAGATGTGATCGAACCAACTTGTTTCCGGCTTTTAGTGGAAATTATTTTAGCTTTGCTTTTAGGAACTGAATAAATACCAGTTTCATCACAATTATACTACCGATCAGGACCAACCAATGTCCATGATTATAACCAATGTCCTTAGTGTGATAACTGCTTAATATTCCTAACAAGTGAAAAATAAGACTATTAATAATTAAGTCATTTTTTTTTATATACAAGTTATTACCTTAGTCATTAAGTTTTTATTGATTTTTAATTTTATAAATGTTATGTTCAGTTATTTTATTTTTATACCTAAAGTAACAGGATAAAATGCTTGAAAAAGGTTTATAATACCTATATAATTTTGTTTTGTATTATATTTATATAACACTATGTTTTAAAAAAAAAGAATACAGCATTTTTTTACATGCTTTTAATCTGTGTCCCATCTTTAAAATGTAGTATCCCGTTTTATCTCGATAACAGGGTAAGATGAGACACTTTGAGTGAATCAGTTAAAAAAATTCACAATATTTTTCTAAAAAAGATTTTGGATTTATTATTGAATATTTAGGTGTGTCGTAATATTTGTAATAACTTGGAAACATTTTTTACATGATAATGTATAAATTGTTTATTTTATCTGGGTTAAAGAATTGGGTGTCCCGTCTTACCCATGTTTCCCCTATTGAGAAAATTGAAAAATTACCTCTTTAAAGTACCATTTTGATCCAATTTCCTAAAAGATAATGTATAATATGTTGAAATCGAAAAACTCATTCTGGTAGAAATTTTGTAAACAGGATATATATATATTAAACACACAACTCTATTTTATAGAGTGAAAAAAATGAAGACTGCTGATGGTAATTGGATCAACAATGAAGTGCTCAAATTCCAATCCAAGTATAGTGTCAAACAAGTATTTACTCAAACACAGGAATTGTTACTATTCGAATACATGGTCAAGTGTTCAAAGATAAATTATGGGCTAACAACAAAACAAATTAGAAAACTTGCACATGATTATGCCATAGGGTGTAATATAGAAGTTCCTCCTTCCTGGAACTTATTTCTTATATCTGGAATTGACTGGTTCAGTGGGTTCATGCCAAGACACTTAGATTTAGCTATACGAAAGCCTGTTGTAGATTTTGATCATCAAAACTATGTGGTATCATTTTTGAAAAAAAAAAAACAAGTGGCACATTTGTTTACCATGATAAAGACGATATAGACCAGATACCACACTCAGATATTCAGTTATTATTACCAAAGCCAAAAGTTTCAGGTAACATAAAACGGAGTGAAGGAGTCTTGGTTTTGCCTTAAGTTTCATTTGAAAATTATAATATGGGTTGAGGTAAAACCTTATCCATTTGTTTTTAAAAGTTTTTATGATTTTGTTTAAATATAGGTAGAGGTATACCTATTTTATACATTGTTAAGTTTTAAAAAATGTTGTTAAGTGTTTTAAGTGTTACTAAAACTTATATAGTAATAATTACCAGTAGGTAATTTCAACAATGTTCCTACATTATCTAGTTATATGAACAACTAATGTTCAATTTATAAAGCATTTAATTACTATAATGTTCCTATTGTTATTTACTGTATTATGATGTGTTATTTCTATGATGAAATAAAGTAAATATTTTATTTAATTTAGTACCTATTTATTTATGTTCAAAATTCAAATGTACCCCTTTAATTGTATAAGACACATTCAAATCCACCCCATAGATGGGGCACTTTTGAATAAAAATATTGTTGACTTCATAATTAGAAATTAAATTAGTTATTTAATATATGAGGTTGTTATCAGTCAAATAGTATTCACAAACATCTAGACCAGGGGTCTCCAAACTTTTTTATTCAAGGGCCACAAAAAAAATCAAATGCTCTTAGAGGGCCAAAAGTTTATTAACACATATAATTTTTAACTTTATGATAATATAGGTACCTATATAAATAATAATATGTTTACTTTATATTTTTGTATAGAATATTGTTTACTTTACAATATACTTAAATAAAAATAAATAGGTATAAATATAATATAATATAAATACATTTTTAAATATTTTTTTTTCTATATTTACCTATGCGTCCTATGCGGGCCACGGGCCGGTTAAAATTTGTTCACTGGCCGTATCCGGCCCGCGGGCCGTAGTTTGGAGACCCCTGATCTAGACTACAGATTGCAATTATCAAATTCAAAATTAGTTAAAAAAATAAAAATTAAAAAATAAAATTGTGAATTTCATTCAAATTTGCCCCACTCTCCCTACACATATATTATTATTATATATACTACGAGGTTTCAAATGAGTTTTAATATTGTTTCTAGTTAGGGATAACTATTGCGTCATTGCAATTGTTCATAAATATTGTAACTTAATTATGTATGAGTAGGTAGGTGTACAATACATGATTTAATTATACAAAAAGGTAATAATATTATAAATATTTTTGGGAAATATTAATTTATCATGGAATAATGGCCTATAGCTCCGAAAACTTAACGTAGTTAATAGTTATGTCCTATGGTTAGGCTAGTTACGGTAATTAGTACCCAAAGGTTCAGTTCAAGTAACCATGAATGCTCAATTGAATACCTATAAAATATAATAGCCAGCTTAGCAAAGTTCAGTATTACAAAACGATAAATATAAAATAATTTACTACGATAGAACGATCAACCTAACACTCACAACACGTTTTCGTTCTGGTTTATAAAAAGTGGATTACTGTTGAAAAAAATGGACATGCTACCTAGGCAGTAGTCGCTTATTTTCACTCTACCTCATGAGTCCATACTCCATGGCTCATATTAATATATAGTAATTATTTAAAACCAAATTTAATTTAAGTATTTTAATAAATTTCAATTCAATCATCATTTTTTTATTTCAATTTATTTAAGATCATTATTCTATATGACTAATATAACATAAATATAAAATAAAGTATGATCATTTTAATCATGTTAATTTTAAGTTTATTTTTAATTAGAAACAATATGTACAATGCAAAAAACAAACAAAATAATATAGGTAGTAATTAATATGATATAATTTTATTTTAAAACTGTATGCATGCCATAGGTTTATATTTTTATTGATGGTTAAATAATACTAGTTTTGTTAATAAACGCCGTTTACTCACAATATCGGCTGTCTTAGATTTTACGTTATGGGGCAATCTAATTTTTAAATATTCTTTACAAATAATCGTAACTAATTCTAATTTATGGTTTTCTAAAAATCCATCATTAGGTCATTTTACATCAACTAAAATATTAGAATTATAAACTTAAATTTTTGCAAAAATTATCTTTGACGTTAAACTAGAATTCAACATTTTAATTGATTTAAAATTAAATGTTAAATTTATAAGTGTTTTTTCAACAAATTTTACAACTTTTACAACAAAAGATGAACTTTTTACAAGCCCTCCTCTATTTTTAATAGAAACCAATTTAGAATTTTCATTTAAAATAGCATAATTATTATGTTCATTAAATTTTTCCAGTAAGTTCTCACAATAAGTCAAACAATATATTTATTTTGAAATTCTTCTCACAATGAAACCATAGATATAGTATAAAATATTTTCTTTCACCATCCTAAAGCCATCAGCTTCATTATGAATATATCTGGTATTTTCTTTTTCCTTTTCCTCTAAGATACTTTCATCATGTAAATAACAAGTGTCTCCAGAATTTCTTTTTGCCCACTGTATTTCAAAAACACTTTTCATTGATGGATTTATCAAAAGCTACGCAGTTGGCTGCATATGAAGAAGTGGCAGAGTTTTTCAATAATATTTGTTTCGTTGATGTTCTGAATTCTAATACATAAGGATTATTGTTATGACCAAATCGTTGTCGAATTTTTGAAAACAGTATTTCTATATGGTCTTGGGAAAGTTTATATGTTAAAAAATACTTGTAATCAAAATTATTTAGAAGTTCTTCAGAAATAGAAAAAACTGATTTTATAGCTACAGCAAAACCTAGAATATTTTTGAACTATTAAATATGGGCATGTAAAAAGTATAATTATAATCGTCAGTTGTAACTTCCCAATTTTAAAAGTTTTTGTTATAACATGTAACAATTAAGAAATTTGATAATACAGGGTTTCCCGTGAGAATTCACCCATTGCGATATCTCCTGAAAAAAATGGATATCATAATTCTGATTTTTTAGTTTATTAATTAATACAGTTATATTATAATAATTATAATGAACAGAAAAAAATTTATTTATTTTGTTTATTTTGGATTTAGTAAAATAGGTGTTTTTAAAAAATTTTGATATTTAATAAAATATGTTGCGTATTTTAGATGTGTGAATTTTTTGTAAATTTTAGCTCATAACTACTGACTTCTATATTTTACTTATTGTACCTAATTTCCCTGTTAAATTTCCATCATACAAATATAGACCAATTATTTGTCCATTTAGGATTCCACACTAACCGTTGATATTCCACCTGACTTTATGCTGAGTTTCATGCATCCATTCTGGATTTTCTTCCGACCAAAGTTTGAAAACAATTCTAACCTCACTAAAAATACTTCAATGTTAACAACTTACTGCTTATCTTATCCTTCAATAACAATAAGAATATAATACAACTAGCTGATCCTGTGCACTTCGTTGCCCGTTAAATGTACCAACTCTATATGACTAAAATTAATTTGTTCAATTCGTTATTTAATACTCGGTGTATGGTGTTCAAAATGTATCTTAACTTTTCCGTTGCCCGAAATAAAAATTCTGATTCGTAGTAGTACATTATCAGGTAAGCAATCTACCTGTTGTAGATCGCGGACTCCGTGCTGTTTGTACGTAAGTGTATGATTTAACTCTAAAGTATTAAAGTTATACCAAGTTTATCGTTCTTACTTAATTCCACCTACGGTGGATGAATATAATCAATTAATGCAAAATCCTAAACTAACCGTACTAAGATCCGATGATTAAAAAAAACAATTATAACCCTTTTTAAATTAGAATATCTCTTCCCAAGGTTTAATCTACAGACAAATATTCATTTATATATTATAGGTATAGCTGAATAACCCGGAGTTGCCCGCGAAAAAAATTGTGATTAATTATTAACTCCTTATGGGTGTAATTCGCTCTGCATAGGTATGGAAACAAAATCATATTTAATTTTAATTTTTAGCTATCCCGCGTGAGTTTGTAATATGGTAATGCGAACAGTATACATATTATCAGGTAGGCAATCATTGAGGAGGGAGATAAAATATAGGTAGCCTATATTAGTACAGCTTTGTAGTTGAAAAAAATTTGTATACAATGAACCTAAAATAGTATTGAAGTCATAGTTGATCATTTTTAGGAGTATTTAATATTTATATATTAATATATTTTGGGGGGTTATTTTATTTATTTTTTTGGATAAACCGGCTAATTGTATCTAACTTTGTGAAAGGTGTATGTTATCGGTGTGCATTTTATCTTTTAAAATATAATTGGAGAAAAAAAACCCTTGTGCATGAGATTATTTTCATGGCTACACACGAATTGCGTCCGGTTTTATTTAAACGATTATGAACGTACTTTAAAGCATATAATAATTTCAGTTTGGTTTCGATCTTGTTGTTGAAACGTTGTACGTTTGTGTAATCTTTGTTAAATAAAACTTAAACTCTAAAATCCTATAGAATGACTTCGGTGATTTTAAGCGAAAAAAATAAAACCTTATTTAATATTGATGAATACAAATTTTGTTATCATAAAACATTAAAGAATGATATTCAACGTTGGAGTTGCTGTAAAAATACGTGTAAGTCATACATTAAACTAAATAATGAAAATGAGATTATAGAAAGTGCAATTGATCATACTTATCATATTAAAGATTCTGCCGAACTATTTAATAAACAACAGTTGAGACAGTTGAGTAATAATTTAAAGCGAAAGGCTGTAGAAGAACTATATGATAAACCATCAAAACTGATTCGTGGAGCTTTATCAAAAGACATTCCAACACTAACAACTTATGATTTAACCTTAATTCGTAATAATATACACCATGCTCGGTCATCTATAATTCCAAAACTTCCAGACAATTTACCTGATTTAAGCGATGTTATATTGAAAGACAATATACAGACTTATAGAGATGAAAATTTTTTATTAGTGAATGACAACCAAAATAATATGTTTTAACATATTTGAATCAATGAAATCATTTAACA